CTAGCCCCCCAGGATTTTAAGGATTTGTTAAGGTTATCTTGGGAAATTTACACAGCTGTGATGGTGTGAATGTATTTGCCACTGTTACCTTAGCAAAGTTGTAGCTACTTTTTTCATTCCCTCCCCCCTTCCACAATCACACCAGTTATACTACCACAGCTTGACCATATTACAAATGTCATAATGACATTTGTCATATGGTCAAGCTGTGGTAGTATAACTTATGTGATTAGGGGAAAAAAAGGAAAAAAGTAGCTATAACTTTGCCAAGGTAATAGAGCCCTGACTATGACATTTTGTGATATGGTCAAGCTGCGGTAGTATGAGCGTAACTTGTGTGATTAGGGGGAAAAATGAAAAAAGTAGCTGTTGGGATTAGGCCCAACGCTCACTTCGAGCCACATTTAACAGGTCCAACTATGCACACACTAGCCCAAGAGAAGCAAACATACCCACGTGAGCGGCACCACGTGGGCCAATGAGTTACTTACATGTATGGATGCATGCCAGCATTTGGGGCTATAAATACCTTCCAACTACCAACAAATGAGGTAATTAATCTCTACGCTTCTCTCTCTGCAATTACTCCTTGAGAGCATCTCTCTCTAGAATATTGAGTATTGCTGATTTGAGCGTCGGAGTGTTTTCCCCGAGGAAACAACCTCGGGATTTTTAAGTGTAGAAGCAGCAGAGGACTTCAATAGTGTTGGACTGCGAAGCTGCCCAAACATTTGGCGCCGTTTGTGGGAACTGAACAAGAAGTTGCGTAGCTTGACCTGCTGAAGGACAAAATGGTTCGCACTTTTACAGGAGGTCACGCTCCAAGAAATGAAATGGACGAGTAAGAGGACGTTCAACTGCCTGAACCCGGCTTAAATGATTTTAGACCAATGCCCAAAAACCTTTTTGTTGGGGGAGCAGAACAGGATCACCTAAGCGAAACAGATGATGATGAAAGAACACCAACTGGGTATGCAACCCAGCCTGAACAGTTCCAAGTTCTAACAGGAACAAGACCAAGACCTTCTAGACCATGCAATTCACAACATGAACGACCTGAAAGGTCAATAGAACTTGCTCGGACAACCGAGCTCGAAGAAAGAACTAGAATTCTCGAAATGGTAATGGGTAAAATCCTTGCCCGCCTGATCCCTGACGACCCCCTGATTCCTTTGTTGAACAGGGATGCACAACCAGCTGCGGTTGTTGCAACTCGAAACTCACCCACTTTAAGCAACATAGTAGTGTCGACCAGGCCAAGGGGAAGTGGGAGGCTAAATAACGAGCCCAGCTCGTCCAGACATAGTGAAGAACTGATGAGGAAAAATGTAGACCTAGAAAGACAGTTAAGGGACGTACAAAAATCTATAGAAAAGCTGAAAAGCCCCAGATCGCACCAGTAGACTCTCGATTTGGATAGTGCTCCTTTAAACCTATCCATCACAGTAGAGCCGTATCAAGAGGGATTCAAAATTCCCCACCTGGAGACATATGATGGGTTGAGCGACCCTGATGAACAGCTGCACACTTATCAAGCCATCATGAGAATCCAGAATGCCAATGATGCCATGATGCCATGATGTGCAAAGTGTTCCCAGCAACACTCAAGTCAACAGCCAGGAGATGGTATCACAAACTCCCCCGACATTCCATAGACTCATACTCCCAACTCGCCAAGCTATTCTCCAACAAATTTGCGAGCCAAAGGGAGATTAAACGTACAGCGATCGAACTAATGCAGGTTCATCAGAAAGAGGGAGAATCTTTGAGGGACTACATGCAACGATTCAACAAAGCTACTTTAGACATTGATAACGTCCCCGATACCATCTGCTTATCTGCCTTGTTGCATGGTTTGAAGCTTGGCCGGTTTTTGGACGACCTGCTGGAGAATCCACCCAAGTTATGGAATGAAGTAAATGACAGGTCGGCAAGCTTCATATTGTCTGAGGATTTTCAATCTTCTAAGAGACAAGCTGATGACAAGCAAGGAAAAGAGCTCAAGCAGTCTGAAAACAGAGATGACAAGAAGAAACAGAAGGTTGGCGAGCAGAGAGGGAAACCGCCTTCCTATCCAAAATATGACAGCTACATCCCCTTGAGCTCGTCACGATCCCAGATATTGGCACAGATACAGCACTGGGTCAAGAGACCCCCTCCACAAATGCACGATTCTTCACGAGCTGACAGAAGCAAATACTGCGACTATCACCGTGTCTACGGCCATAACACAGAAGACTGTCAGAGTCTGAAAGACGAGCTCGAATTCTTGGCTCGCAATGGGAAATTGGAGGGATACGTGCAGAAGCCTTTTGCTCGGCAACCCACCCAGACTCACTTTGTACAAGAGTACGGCCGATCTCAAGCACCTGGATATGAACTCGGTAACAACCCAAATTCTTACCAGGCAGGTCCATACTCTTCTGAGCCAAACAGAGCATACAGGGGACGCCCGTTTAATAGGCGTGGGCAAGGACAGAAAACACTTGCATATAATCAAAAGGACCACAGAGGGGTTGGGTATGGTGGAATACCCCCGCCATCTGGCACAATAAATATGATTTCAGGTGGTGTTCACTCTGAAGGCCAAAGCGCCCGAGCCCGCAAGGCATATGCCCGGCAGGTGATGACCGTCAACAAAAACAGGCCCTTGAAACGGCCGTTCGAGGAGGCGGAGTGGGAGAATGCAGCCATCACATTCAGCCCGGCCGATTATAAGCGAGCAGACGGGGAACCCGACGTTATGATGCTTCATGCGGATCCCTTTGTGGCGACGGTCCATATAGGCAATCATAACGTCAACAAGGTCTTTGTTGATACGAGTAGCTTGCCAGATATCCTTTATTGGAGTTGCTTTCAGAAGATGCAGCTAAACCCAAGATCACTGCAAAAATATGAAGGGCCCATCTATGGGTTCAATAATCAACCCGTCCCGGTAGAGGGAGTCATTACTCTGCCCATCTATGTGGGCTCGGTACATATGCATTTTTCGTATTCAATATTTAAATGTTTTTTTAAAGTGTTATTAGAAAA